ACGTTTTGACTTGGCTGGTAGCCATGGTGGCTTGTGGCTGGGCGGAGTTTCCGTATCCGTTACGCTTAATGAGAGCGATACGCAGAAGTTTGGCGGTACTTGCTCCGGATCAGGTAGATCATCGAGATCATGGGCATTAAATGTGATGAGTGTCTCTGGCTCCGGCACAAAGCCAGTATTAATTTGAAACTGGCAAATCTTGAGACCCTGCGGTCGCACCATGCCCTTCAAAGCATTACGCGCATGGTACAATACAATAGTCAAGTCTCCACAAACAGTTAAATTAATTGGCAGCACGATTTTGCCTGGACCCGCTATATATAGCCTGAAATTCAATAAAATTAAAATTAGCCAATCTATAGTCTTATGTGAAGGAAGTATTTAGTTTACCGCATTTTTTCGTAATCTTGCAGAGTAGTAAGAAGCAACATCTCGTTGCAGTAGACCTCCATGTAAAGCCGGCAGCCATCACGAGCCTTGGTCATGCGCGGCACGGGCTGACAGCTGAGCGAAACCAGGTTGATATTCTTGTAGTGCGGAAGAAGTGGCGTGGGCCGCAAAATATCCCCAAAATAGTAGAGATATCGAAACTCGGAGGGACGCAAATTAATGGTGTGGCGTTTAACAGCAAACACTTGCACCGCGTCCTCTGGTTCCTGCAGCAAATCTGCGTACATAAGCAGAGCGCATATAACTGTGGCCGCAGTGCAGCCGCCCGAGTCGCCAGTTTGCACAATGACAACAGATTTGGGATCTGCGTTAAGGAAGTTATACATATCCGCTGATACAGTGAACAGGCCCTGAAATAGAGTTTAGTTGTTAAAAATGTCACGGGAATGTATTTAGAAGTCTTCGCACTTACTTGAAGATTGGGGGCGTGTGCCTGTGGGCAACCATATACAGAACCCGCCTCCACAGTTCGTACTGGCGGTGGCAGGCGCGGCACAGTTCGTGGTCCAAAATTGTAAATGCTTATCTTTTGCGGTGCAAAGCGACTCTCCAACGACAGACGCACATCCTCAATGTTGTTCGTTTTGTAAGTGGACTCAAAGCCATCCGATGGGCAGGGCATTACCAGAACGCGCGAAGTGATGTGACTAATGTCTAAGTCGTTTCGTGCAATCGATTGTTGCATCGTTTGCATCACCTTGGTTGAAGTATCTTTTAGGTTCTTGAACAGAGTACCAGCACCACCACGCAGAGAGGATAGCAAGCTACCGCTGCCATGACTAGCCGTCGAGGTCGATGCAGCAGAAGCAGTCTGTGGTGCATTCATAGATATGGGCGTTGGTGTGGGCACAGCCGCAGGATTTGGATTGTCGCAATAGAACACAGAGTGGTTCGCTTCGGGTATACTTCTCTCTGGACTATGGGCTGGCGACGTTTCTATAGGCATCCCGCGCAAATCTAATGGTCCCTTAAGCGACCAATTGTTTGTCTCAGCAATGGCTGCCAAACGCTCCAAGACCATTGAGATATCATAGCGTTCTGCTGGGTTCACTTTAAAACAGCCTTTTATAATCTCGCGAAAGCAATTATAACGGGAGTCAGGTGGCATAATATAGTTAGCATTGATGATACGCAGCTTGCCTCCATCCTCGAATGGATGCTTTTGATAGCACAAAAAATATAATATACAGCCAAGTGCCCATATATCGGCCTTGGGTCCAATCGGATAATTCGACCATGTGTCCAGCATTTCGGGCGCACGATACATGGGCGTGGTCACCGTATTCAGCTGATCCTCAAGCATATTGCGCTGATGTGCGGTCCATTCAAATGTGGGCGCCAACACCTCCTTGCTGGCTGAACCAAAGTCGCAAAGTTTGATCTGTTTGTCATTGCCAATAAGGAAATTTTCAATCTAGCAACGGAATATATATATAATGATTAGATTATTTTTGAAAGGCATTTGCTCAATAGATCTCATCTTGATATAGACTATCAAAACTGCTTAATATATTACTACATACATTTGTTAAATTCTATTCTTGCTTGCTTTTCAAATGATTTGACTTGATTCACATTAGGCATTTACAGTTCCCAATTACCTTTATATCACGATGAGCTATGGGCGGCAATTGTGTATGCATGTGGGCAACGGCGCGTGCCATTTGATAGAAGATGCGCAAAATAACAGGTGGATCGAGCGCTGAATTGTCTACTCTAAAGCAGTCCACCAGAGAACCACCTTTTGAAAGTAATGAAATTATCAAATTGGATTCCACTTGAGTTTATCCATGAGTTACCCTTGCATAGTTCCGTTAGCAGTAAAAACTGTGCGCCATGATGGGACGTGGGAGGAATGCAGCTGGTGCCAATGCAAGTGACAATGTTGCTATGTCCAGATAGTTGCTTATGGACGCTAATCTCATTGTTGATTGTTCGGCAGGCCTGCTGATCGGCGGCGATCAAGCGCTTGAGGGCGTATTCTGTGCCATTTTTCACATCTTGTGCGACGTACACAAAAGCATATCCGCCTGCAAATAGAAGGGGAAACGCTGATAACAAATCACACTGATAAGCGGGGGCGTTCAATTTCAGTGACGAGTCAAACTCATTTATACAATTAAATATGCATTATTTATAAGACCGAAATTCAGAAATTTGATACTCTTTTCTTGTGATTGCGTGTGTGTGTAAGTGTGTTTGGCAATGTGACTCATAGGTCAAGAGAACGGCTGAAGAACGCTTGAACTTCAATAACAACTTGAGACACCAATACTACTGTGAATACAGCATGTATGACTTTTAACGTACATCTCATACTCGCTAACAAAGCAACAAGTTTTTCATTCTGTTTCAATGCGAAAATCAGAAAGCGGAAACGAAGAGTTTGTAGATGACGTTGTGGTGTCATTGTTGGCAGTTTTGATTGCAATTACAAACTTTTCGAAGAATACAACCATATTTAACACTCTATTCCTATTGATTTTTATGCACTTGCATGGGGTTAGGCAATTGTTTTTGTTTGTATATTCCAAATATTTCTAACCTTCGGCTATGACACATTTTGTGCGTAGCTTCAATCCGGAGATTTCTACATATTGGCCAACGTAATCATTGTCCATGCTGCCACTGTTCACTGTAGCAGTAGTGGAACCTCCTCCTCCTCCATTACCACCTGCATCCGATGTGGTGTTAAAGTAGTTAAAGTTTAGCGACTTGAAAAAATCGCCCATATTACTCGACAATGGTATGTTGTGTATTATAATTTTTTATTGCTGAGTCGCGAGCTAATTTTAGGGTTTTTGTTTATTTTAACCGAGTTTAAACATTTTCGCTGTGGTCACAACAAATATTGCTGCGTTGCTTTAGTATTTATTACTTCTGTTCTGGTATTTTTTTTTGCTGCGTTGGACGGACATAAATAGTCAGCTGTTTGCTTAACATCGAGTTTAACAGCAAAGCATTTTAACATCAACTGTGCTCATTTTTAACAAAGATACATTTTTACATTCGTTCCCAAAGCATTTAAAAAAAAAAAAAAAAACAAAAACATTAGATTTAAATTATGTTATTAAAATTTGCTCATCTATTCAAACTCGATGACAAAAAATCACTTAAGTTGGAGATCTCAGCTGAATTAATTTCGTTAAGTGGAGTGATATGTAAAGTGTGGAGTGATTATGCTATGCCTAATATATGTAATGCTTTTCAAGAAATAATTTTATATAATCTTTTTTATTTTATATTATCTTTTTAATGATTTAAGTGTATTTATTTACATGCTTCTATAATTGGAAAGTCTTGTTGAGACATGTGAGTTTGTTAGTTTAGTTTAGGTAAAAATGGAAATATATGAGAATATTTCGGAATTAGATAAGTTAACATTATTACACTATGCAACATGTATAGGCTTTTGACATTATTCAAGATAACTTATTTTGTAGATTAGAGAAAGGGAGTACGAAAAGGATTATAATATATGTATTTAGTAATGATTAAAATTAGTTTAAGGTTGAGTTTAACATTTTTGAAACATTTGTTGAACATTTTTGAAATATATTTATTCAATTTATTTTTTGTAAGAGATTCCGTATTGTGCATATTAGTTCAGATGTCTCCAGTATTATTTATTTCTAATTCACGGATATTAAACTTTGGCCTTTAGATAATAATTTCCGTTAAATATTGGGGAGTTTGCGTTGACCTTGCAGGTGGAGTTGCCCGCATCTTTAAGTGTTATAAATATGTACATATGGTTAATTACATAAAGTATAAACCCTAAAAAAATAAATATTTTCCAAACACATTTTCAGACCGTTGAACTAATACAAGGTCGATTAGACATTTGTCAATTGCAGATACATTTGTACACATTATGCTGTTGAAACGGTCTTCGATTTCCGCCGAGACTTATAAAAGACTTAATACAAATAATCAACAAATCATCGAGAAACAAATAACAATCTTCAGTCTTTGTTTTCGTTTGTAAACAAATGTGAAATGCATGACAAAATACAGAAAGAAAGACCAAATACGATTTTAAAAACCCATTTACGGCACAAATACTGTCTGTATCTGTTTGAAAGCAAGGTACGTTGTGGATTGCGATACCAATGACAATTTTATTTTTCTGCTGCTTTCGTCGTTGTTGTTATTGCTGGCCATTGTTGTTTTGCGTAAATTGAGCGTCTCGGGTAATTTTGACACATTTTAAAGTGTCAAGTGTGCAATTTTGTTACATTTGCATTTCTAGCCAACGTAACAAATGCCATACAATAATAATGACAAAAAAAGAAACATTTTTCAGATAATGATGGCTTTGGCTTATCATGAGAGGCTCAATAAACAATGTTTCGCAATTAGCCAAATGAGTGCAGTTATTCTCCAGCTGCGACTGCAGTCATTTGGACTTATCATGGGCAATGCGATTTAGCATTGACACATTTTCCATTAGTTGGCAATAATTAAAGTTAATAAATATTTTTCCACGCCATTTAGCCGCGTAACTAATATGCCTAGAGCTTGGGAAATGTAACGAATTGAGGGCGAATAAAATACACATTCTGTTTGGACAATTGTGCGGGAAAACACGTCTAAGCCCGAGAACAATAATGAGTTGCCTTGCACCACTTTGGCTGTTGTTGGTATTATGGGTGCATTGCGTATACGCACAGTATTACCGATCGATGCCAAGCGATGCGCTGACATTTATTCTGTATAATCCTTCGAGTGGCCAGCAATTGGCACCAGTTCGTTATATACTCTCACGCACCGTCAACAATAATCTAATTGAGCTGCCATCGATGGGTAGGCCGTGCTCCTGCCAGGACTACGCGTGCAAGTGCTGCTTGGGCCTGGGGTTTGGAGTGATAAGGGAGGGCCTGTGCCTCAACGTCGCAGGCAATCTCCGAGACCTCAGTGTTAATTTTGTCGTTGAGCTTAACCATCGATCGTTGGCCGACTTTGATATATCGCCCAGAAGTCTCCCGGATTTTTGCGCTCCGCTTATGCTGCCGATTCCAATTTTTACCTGCCTGCGACTCTATAATATACATATCATCGACCGGAGCTTGTACGTCTGCACCTCGCTGGTATTTAAGATACTATTCCAGCAGATGTTTGAGTACAAATTGACCTGCTTGGAGCTGAGCGTCAAGGGCGTGGCTGCGGTTGCTGAAACGGACTGGAATAAGGATCAGATTCAGCTAAGAACGTATCAGCAACAATTACCGAACAACAAACTTGAAGTCTACGCTGCATAAGTTGATAGTATGGCCCATGGCTTTTACATGTACACTCATCCATCCTCCACTCATTCTGTTAAATATTAAATCTAACAAAAGAAAAAAGTGAAATTTTTGTTAATTAAAAAAAGCATTTTATTCAAAAGCCGCACCAACAAGAAACGACACAATAAAGCGCTATGAAAATTGCGAAAATTGCTAATAAAAAGTTGGGCCAAGTGTGTGGCAGCTGCGTGCGTCTGTGTGTGTGTGTTTGTGTGCATATGATGCGGCTGCCTTGGATTTGTATCTGTATCTCAGCATCTTAAACAAGGTACACAGCTCATTGGAACACACCTACTTCTGGCCACTTTCGTTTAACCACTACGGCACATGGCAATTATTTTTCTGCCCGCTATCAAACAGCATGCATCTGAAGCCGACAAAACAGTATACGAGCTTGCGAGCAACCCAAGCGGGACTCGGAAGAAGAATTGGGGCTGGGGAGCGCCGTTGGCACTTTAGCGTGATGGGCTGTCAAATGGTAATTTGTCACTTAAGCATGTAATCGTAGTTAAGGTCTAGGCTCTTGTACTAAACAAATTTTAAATTACACTAGCCAACAGCAGTCGGAAATAGCTTTCTAACAAAGTTAGGAATATGGTTTAAAGCATAATTTGCCGAGCAGAGTTCGACTTTGAGTCATAGAATAAGTCTAAAATTGTTGGCACTATACTTAAAACATTTTTATTTGGAAATATTTATTCTGTACTAAATAATCATCAATTATCTTTATTTATCATTGTCTGCTGAAACACATTCGCCAAAAAAGAGAGTGGAAAATGAAGAGTATGAATAAATTATGCGAGGTTAATTTGTATGACAAATTAACACTTTGCTTCAGTCGCTTTATTAGAAACCTTGTTGACTTGTGTAATAAACGTTGCTATTGTTGACTAGTTTCTGAAGATGTAATTATTTATTTGACACATTCAAAAGACAATTGGTGAAAATGACACTGATAAAAGGCATTAGATTAAAACTTTGTGAAAATTATAACAGCAACGGGTGGTGTTGAAAAAGTAATAAAATAAAAAAAAAAAAAAACAATAAATATTATTTATAAATTGCTGTAAATAAAATAACATTAAACGCTCCTCAAAACGAAGATTTTGTTAAATATGTAGCTTATGATAAATCCAAATTCAAATTCAATTCAAAGAACTGGTTTTAATTTTTGCATTTTTAGAAGAGCCAGACAAATGATGAAGTGCGCCTTTAATTGATTTATTTGTTATGTTAATGTTTAAAATTAAAATTTCAAGACCTCAAACTCTTCTTTATATAATTGATAATGTGCTTGTAGATCAATATTTGTTTTATTCTCAGCGGAGACTTTTTCAAAACCTATTCAGTTAACCTGCACTGTAAATGCATAATAACATAAGAAGTTAGCCTAAAATATATAAAATAATAAAATAAATTAATTAAAGTAACTAATTAATGATATAATAACTGACGTTTATTTTCAAAGATTTACATTTGTATATTTTTAAAGCAGTTTTAATCACAAATATGCTTGTATGATTTAAATAATCAGAGATAAACCACAGTTGGTCAATCATCGGATCAACTGCACTGATGCCAAACAAACGTCGCTGACGAGTGGATCGCCAAAAAAGAAATGAAGTATTGTGAGTACAATTTGGATCTCTGCATTCGCTCTTTTTGCCACTGATGTTGCTTTTGTTGTTGTGGCGTTGTTGGCTGCTGCTGCAATTGCGCAATTGTTCGCAGATTTTGGCCGCATTGTTGTTGCTTTGGCTTTTATTTGGCATGCTTTGCTTGAGTTTCGTCTGCCCCTTCGATCCACATTTTGTCTGTGTATTGCTGTTTTTTTCTTTCTCGGCTCTGGTGTTTGCTTAGCTGTCTCATGCTCAAGCTTCAGCTCCAGCTCGGTCTGGGTCTCTGTCTGAGTCCCAATCTAAGTCTCTTTGGCCAGCTGTTGCTGCTGCCGACGTCGCTGTCGGCGTCGCTGAGTATACTTGTATGTGTGTTTGTGTTAGTGGTTGTTACCGTTGCCAACATCGCAGTTACCTTCGCTGCGACGGCTGCTGCTGCTGTTAAGTTGTTGTTGGCGTCGGCCTCCAAACACACATAGATCCCCCCATACATGTGTACATATATACATATGTGTGTATGTATGCATAATAATTTTTACTTTTTTCTGTCGTTTTCCAGCTCGATGCTTTTTTACTTGCAAGCAAAAGTTTTTCATTTGCGTTCAGTTGTATTTCGGTTCGCGTTGCGATCTGTCGCACATTTTGTCTGGCTCGCTCGCAGATACAATAAAAACACAAATTAAGAGCCGTTTGTTGTGATCGTCGTCAGCAAGGCGTCAAGGATCAGCACGTATTGGACTACTTACCAAACAGGATATTAAGCCGAGAGTGAAATATAACGTGAGTTTTTATTGCTGCGCTTTGATGAAGCATAAATAATATATTTCGAATTTAGCATATTTACGTTAGGTAATTTGTGTCTATAAAAAATTTCATTGGTATAAATTATTAGTTCTTGTGCTTCGATTCCAATTCTTTAGTATTTACACTTTCAAAACGTGATCTGTGAAGTATTTAGGGCCCGACATTGACTGATATGCCGTAGATATTATGACATTGATGCCTTTTGATTTAAAAGCGAATGCTTAAGAAATTTTATGGGTCTACAGCTTACCGCATTTGTGTGTGGGATTAAATGGGCTGAGGCAATAGCATCTGCATGTTCGTGGATAGTATTTTAGATGACAGGCTTTATCCATCAAACCTACGGACCTTCAACTTGGCATTCGATTGATGTGCCCGAAAGTTTAACAAAATTTCACTTTCAGTTGCGACACTTGGGCGCAAAAAGAAAAAAGACCTAGGCGCCAATACACACACATTTACACTTGTTCACTCTTGTCATAAGCCGGAAAGTGCTTGCCAATGCTGACTAACAAGCATGTGTAATTAAAGATGCTGGCAAAAAAAAGACAGAAAAAATAATAAAAAGTAAAATTAAAAACAAAAAAAGACCATAAGTAAAAAGCATTAATCTTAAGAGAAGACCAGCCAAGAGACCAGCAAGGGCTACAGCATCTTTAAACTTTATGATCTTTAAAATTTCACATTTCATAGTCTCACTAACAACAAAAAGTACAAATATGTTTAAGTGAAAAACAAAAAAATCATGTAAAGTTTCTCACTTTTGGGTGGGAAATGTTAATCATAAAAAGTAAAAGTGAAATTAATACGGCGCCGGCAAGCATCACAAGCAACAATAACAATAACAACAAATTACATTAACCGCATACGGCCACATTTGCATTTTGCACATGACAACAACTGCAGTAGCAGCAGCAGCAGCAGCAACAACAATAACAACAACGACACCAGACAAACATTACGACAATCGCTGATAACAATAAGCAACGAGCGTTCGATTGTTGACCCGACTACCAATGATATCGGACATCGTTAATCGGTAACGGCTCCGATTTAGATTCATTAAGTGCAGTGCGCAACGTGCGAATATTGAAATAAAAGCGAAGAAGCAGCAGTAGAAGAAGTCGCTCACGTGGGGGCGTATACGTAATTTGAATGCAGTCTTTGTTTGCCAGATCAATTGGTAATGCTCGCAGCGTTGCCAATCGTGGCTGGGAAGTTGCTCTTGCCTTTTGATTGACAAGCTGACAGGCTACAGCGACTGAGGGCCCTAGAAGAGCGGCTCTTGCCAGAAAAGTGAGAGTTTTAAGTACGTGTGTGAGAGCTGTTAGAAGCCGACACAACTCGCACTCGAACTCAAAGTCGAACTCGAGCTCAAAGTCAACACACAAGCTCAAGAGTCAATGAACAAGTCGGCGATTTGTGCCGCCGTTGCCAGCAATTGTGCTCAATTGAGCTTGTTGTTGCTATAAACGTAATACCCAATTAATGGCAAACGGCACGCCTTGAGTGAGAAAGCCCATCATTAAATGTGCGCCGTCTGTCGCATGCAAATGCTGAGCGCTTTAAGTAGCAGTTCGTAGTAGATAACCCCAGCGTATAATGGCCAACATCAATACAACAACAGCAACAGCAACAGCAACAACAAACAAATCCCAAATAGCCAAAGATGAAATTAAGACCTAAGCTCAAACTTAAATTGCACACACATAATAATAATTGCAGTTTGCATTTCAACATAGTTATGCACATAATAGCAAACCCGCAGGGCTATGACTCCGGCTCTGGCCATGCGCCGATAAAGTGTTTCAGTCGCATTTCCTGTCTCGCTTCACTTCAAAACTTGAAGTGATGTAATTTTCATTGAACAAAAGTGGCCGAAAAAAAAGAGAGAAAAAATATATAAAAAAATAAAAATAAAGAAACAAAAATGACGCTACAAAGACGCAACGGCAAAGCTTCAAAAGGCGAAACACCAGGTGATGGCTACGAAACAACGCGTCGATGTCGACGTCGACGTCGGCAGCGGCTGTGCCGTGACATTGAAGCCGACAGCGTTGGCATCGCTGCTGGCGTCGACGCAGCTGTTACCGGGCAGCGGCCTAAAAACGCTGGCCGACACTTAAGAAAAGGCTTATAGAAAAAGAGACCAAGCGCTCAATAGCAAGCGTTGACTTCTTTTTGACGTTTGGGTTTTTTGTTTCTGTTGGGTTTTTGATTTGTTGTTGTGCAAAAAGTAAAACTTGTTTTTGTTGTTACAGTGCGCGGTGATTGCGACGATTTCATAACAACAAAAACCACAGAAGCAGAGCCAGAGCCACAGCTAGCGGTAGCAGTTGTAGCCAGTTGAACTGGGAGCGCGGCGCACTCAGCCGCGTCGCCGCCAACTTTGAGTTGAAAGTGAAAGTCAGCAAGTCGCGAGCCGCGTGTGACGAGTGGCGAGTCGGCAGTCTGAGTTTGAGTTTTGGCCACGAGCACCCAGATTGACCGAGTCGTAGTCGTGCCGTGAACTTTGCCGTGCGCATTTATTGAAATTGCAATTCACAATTCGCTTAATTGTTTTTCTCATTTTGTCGGTAAATTTTCACTCATTAGTGGCTCGCTGGTAGCGGTACGCGGCGTATGCGTAATATCGCAACATCTCAGTTCATTCAGCCCAATTATGCGGCCAATCAATAGGCCAAGCTTAAATCGATCTGACGCAAATTGCGATAAATGGTACTGCAACTCGGCCATCAATCTTTGGCGCAGCACTTAAATAGTTAGTTACTTATCAGATTGATTGGCGTGGGTTACGCCCTCAAGGCGTGATTGCAATTCAACATTAATCAGACCGAAGCAGTCGTGGGTTTGTTAGAGTTTCGATACCAGAGTGAGCTACTGACAGCTGAAATGGGCTTCCCAACTTTTGACTCTCTTCTTTGACTTTACACAGAATTACGTCAAAGTTTAATGGCTTTTTGTGGCGTAACTAATGCAAAGCTAAAAACTTAATTAAAGAAGATTTATCTCAAGGGCGAATAACGTATGCAGATTATTATCTAACTTTTACTAGAATGTAAATATCAATTAAGTTTATTGGAGTGTAAACAAGATGAGCTCGTCCCATCCGCACAATTATTATATCGTTCAGCATATATAAGTACATGTATATTTTATAATTATGTTTTTAATATCTGCAATTCCAATATTTGTTGATCAAATTACCAAATATTTTTTGTGTACACTATAAAATATTTGGTTTTTTTAGCCTTCAAGTAGATAAGAATTAGTTAATTAAAGTAAGTAAACTTGTATGAACATGGTTTGTTTTATACAGTAATCCGATTTGATATGGATGTGTGATATAGTAGGAGATTATAAGAGCATATAACTCTTAATAAATAATAAATTATTTTTAAATGTGATACAATTATTAAAACCTGTCTAAAGTGTATTCAAAAGAGTGAACTTCCTCTTTTAGATAAGACTTGGCGAAAGCAAACTCGAACTTATGTTGAATACTGTATCAGTGAATAGTGCTCCAGGTGCAAAATATTATCAAATGCGTTGGCTTGTCGCTCATAGCCAAAGGCAAGGCATTGACTTTGATGGCATGACAGCTGCTCAGCTAGGGCTTAGCTGCTTAATGCAACTATGAGGGAGGCGTGGCCATTGCAATTTTACGCCCAAACTGTCATGAGTTGTCGCATTGGCACTGAGTGGAAAATAAAAATGTTGTTGCCGGCAATCGACAATCTACAACCGACAGCCGGCAATTTCCTCATGCCACAGCGGCAAACGAAAGTTAGGCATTGCATTTTTTAATTGCTGTTTCGCTTTCTGAGCCCAACTCACCAACACCAACATCAACGCACACACACACACACACACCCATACATAGACACGCAGATGCAATAAAAATAAAACAGTTTGCAGATGCATTCAGCTCGTTTGGCTGCTTGGCTGCTTGACTGGTTGTCAATAATTAAATAAAGAGCAGCGCAACCGTCAATAATGAGCCAAATTCAATGCAACGAGGTGTTGAAAAAATCATAGCAGTACGAGTCAAGCCAGGGCTAATTAACAGGCGTGAAAACAAACACAAAAAACATTCCAAGAGCCGCAATTTGTTACTCCAAAGTCGCAAATAAATTTTTGGATTATAAGAAACCAAAACAAGAAATTAGGCATTTTACTATGAATTTTTAATAATCTAGTCTCCGACTTTATTAAAACATGCTAATTAGAGTTATAATAATGATTAATATATCGGCTTTAGAATTTTTAATTCATTTCTTATTTATTTAAACTTCTACTATGCATTTTAATTTAGACTTACTTATTTTTCTGTCTCACACTAGTTAAAAAATTTATAAAATGAACGCCATCATCATCATCAAACATGTTTATTAGCTTATACGGTCTATTTCCTTGCTTATATTATTTTTAGGCAATAATTTCAAAATTTACACCAAATTCAATAAGAGAATTTTTCTCACGATTCAAAATACATGGCAGAAGCAACGCCCTTTTTAGGGTTTGTTGCGAAAGAAATAATCAGATGTAACAAGCTTTAACATAATTTATCTCTATCGAAGTTCATTAATTAACTGGAACCTTTAAAAAGGTAGAAAGCAGTTTTAAGCCTAGTGGCAGGCCTAATTTACGTAAGACAGCCAATCGACGTAGTAAGCTTGAACACTCATTTTATGGGAACGAAAAGCTTTGCTTTAGCCTGTAACACGCATTAAGATTAGGACTACTAAGCATATATAGATACGTACTTATGTATATATTTAGTTCATTGTTTCATATTGTCAGTGCAGAGTTAATTTGAAGCTGTTGGATGAACTCGCTAATCATGCCATTATGATAGGTTGCACTCGTATACCCAGCCATATATAATGCTCACCTAATTAACTCTCACTAATTTGATACAATTTTGCATCAATTTCACAGCGCACGCACCAAAAGATGGCGACAGTGACGACTGCAAGGGCAACAGCGGCAACGGGGCGTATGAGTGCTGTGGCATTAATTATTTGCGGCGCGCTGTTGATGGGCGTGGCTGATGGCAGCAATGGCAATGTTAGCGGCGGCAGCAGCAGCGCCACCGGACGACCTTCCCTGTTGCGCACCGAACTGCGCTTTGGACGCAACCTGGATCCATCCAAGGTGCGCGTGGTGAACGTGAAGTCGAGCCAGGGCGAGGATGTGGAGATTCTGGTGGGCAAGAACAGCCGCAAAGCGCGCGCTGAGGAGGCAGCCGGTTCATTTTTCGTGCGCAGCTCGGATGTCAAGCGGCCAGCGGTTCAAACCAGAAATGCCAATGCCAATGCCAATGCCAATGGAAGTGGCCGCCAGCTAGTCTTCGAGCATACGCCGACACTGCTGAAGCAGAGCGAGCTGGCGCAGCAGCAGCAGGACTATCGCCAACGCAAGGCCGAGGCCGAGCAGCGACAGGCGAAATTTATACAGCTACAGCTGGCCAAGGCGCAGAGCAAGGCCTTGGAGCAGCGGGCGCTGGAGAGCGGCAGCAGCTCGCGAAGCGGCCGTCAGCTGGGCGGTAATGCCGCCTGGCAGCCAGTGTATTTCCAGGCACAGCCAACGGCATACAACAGGAACTTATCGTTCTCCGTGGAGCGCCAATGGCAGCCGTTCAGCTATGCTGCCCCAGTGGAGGCACAGCCTCGCGTGCTGCGTCAAGTGCAAGATACGCCAATCAGCTTTCCCAGCGACATGCAATATGCTGCCTCCGAGCCGCTGGAGTACTACAGCCGAGATGAACGCGCTTATCCCAGCCACAGGTCACGGCCACCACAGAACCTGATTACCAAGCACAACTACAACGCCTTGCCACAGAAATCGAAGTTCGTCACCTATATGCCGCACTCTGTGGTGGTCACGGCCAGCGCCGGCGTGGCTGCACCCTCGGCCACGCCCTCACGCCGCCCCGTTCAGGCCAGTCCGCATCGCAATCCCATTGGCCAGAGCACGCACAACGTCGTCGATGGGCCCGCAGTCACACTCATCGAAGGAGTCCGCGTCCCAGACACTCCCGAGGACAAGGTGAAGACCTGGCGCAATGCGCGCGTGCTCAACAACCAGCTGGTGCCATATCCCGAGGGCTACACGCCGCCGCGCGTCCAAATGCCCAGCTTTGACAGATAGGCGCGATCGGCTGGTGCCTCCACACAGCTGCACTTGGAATATTTCTACTATATTTATTGATTTGTTTATTTGTTAAGTTATTTATAAATGTTACATTAAACTTGAAAAGTATATGCCCCCACAGCTAATGCATAAACTGATTGACGGTCCAGATATTAAAGTTCGACTTGCGCCAGATGCGTATGCAGGTGTTGGTCTCAATGATCACGTGCACCACATGAACGGGTGTGGTCTGCATATAGCCATTCTCAGACAGCCTGTACCGATAGGGCAGCTGCAGCTCCAGGTAAACGAATACCGCGGGATACTTCACGGTGATGGAGAGGCTGATGCTGTTCCTCTTGCCGTTGGGGGTATCCACGCATATTTTCGACGCGAACTCGAACTAAAAAAAGAATCGTATGAAGTTAAGAGTCTCTAATTGAGGTGACCCGATGAGGGCTTAAGATTATATAAGAGAAGACCAAATAAATGCAAATGTCAGGAGAAGACAGAAATATATTGTGAATTCAACTATCAAAAATGTTCTAGACAATCGAAAACTTTCAAATAGGAATTGTTGTCGATTTTTGATCTGTGCATGCTATATAAAGTTCCGAAAATTAATGTTTACTCTCTATCCTTTTTAGGTGCAAAGATCAACGACCTCATACATATAGACTGGTGGACGTTGTCCGAATCAAAATTAATTTCCTTAACATCATATTAGCAATCAAATAATCATATACATTACTAATTAAAGTATATGGTTAAGTAAAGTACTCACTGTCGTAGAAAATGGGACTTACCTCTAGCTCCGGATCTTTAATTCCCACAGCACTGGCAATGTTCGTAGGAAAGAAGTAGGTGCGTGAGAGTTGAGTTTCGCCACGTCTCAGCTGGAACTCCAGATAGGCGTTGTGCTCATTGAAATCTCCCTGCAACAGATCTTTTATTGGTATGATCTTGTCATACTGTACTCCATTGGCCCGCAGAGTGACCGCCCAGGAGGTAGAGTTGCGCGGCATGAGCTGCGACCATAGATGAATGTGGGCCACAACGTTCAAATTATTGGTGTCGATAGTTGGCTCGTCACAGATCAAGGAGATGTTTAGGGACTTTGTTGGCTTATCATAGAGAGCCACAATGGCAACAGGAGCAAGAAAATCGCGAGCCCAATAGTGCAACAGCTGTGTTCGTGTTAAGCAAATAGCATTATCAACCAGGAATCAGCAATGCAGCTAGCAGTGGCTCACCTTCCAGTTACCAAAGAAATCTATGCCAGACCACGAAGGAGCTACCCAGACATCATTTAGCTGCCAGTAGAGGGCACCCATGGTATTGTGCTCCGTATCGCGCAAGGTGCGATACAGCTCCGTCTCCACCTTGGTGGCCATGGCATGCGATATTTGACTGAAGTAGATGAGCGCCTCGTTGTAGTCCTTGTCCTCGGGCAGGGGCAGCGGCAAATGCTGATGCAGTTGAGTGGTTATGGGGACCATTGCAAGCGGATGGTGCTGTCGATGGCCCATGACTTGTGCCAGATCGTTGTCACTTCCTTTGGTCCGCTCCCAAGCATAAGATCCAGGTAGCGACTGAATTCCATACTCACTTGCGAAACGTGGACGCGGGTAAATATTTGGATCCCAGGCATCCTTAAAGTAGTCGTAGAAGTGTACTGCAGGCAATAGGAAAAAGCAAACAGTTCGATAAGCTTATCAGGCCTTTTATGGTCTTCTAATAATACCATCGCCATTGTGGTTATCCTGTGGATTCTCCGATATGTAGTTGTCCCTCTCGCTTGCCTTGCCATTAGACGGCGAGGATACTAACGGCTCGGGGCGGCCGTTGTGTGAGACGATCTTCAGCTCGTGTATAACGGTGCCCAGGTACAGCTCGCGGTATTCGGCCTTGAAGCGATCGATATCGTGGAACGTGTTATACCAGTTCTGCACGAGAGCCGCCTCATTCTCATTGTTGCCAGCAAAAATGGCAATGCTTGCATGATGGGACAGACGCTTGGCATTCTGGCGCACCTCTTCGCTCACCGAGGCCAGAAATTCGGGCGTCGTTGGGTACATGGCACAGGCGAACATCATGTCCTGCCAAATGAGTATGCCCAGACTATCGGCCATATCGTAGAAATAGTCCGATTCATAAACACCGCCACCCCATACACGTATCATATTCATATGCGCATCCTTGGCCGATTCCAGGAGGTAAGCAACTGCACAGATGTAAAAGATAATAAAATACTGAATATATTCCAAATATTTTGCATACATATTGTATATCAAATACATATTATACATATATAATAAATAATAAGAGACGGTTATAAATGTTTTTCAAATCGATGCTTTGTAAGAGACGATATATTAAATTTATATAAATCCTTCTGTCGGCTGCAGTTTTTCATCTCAATTGAGAATTAGTTAAAATAAGATGCTTTCATAATATCTTAACCCTTATAAGCTGTCAACATTATATTTAGAATCTTGCATCAACAATAATAATAATTCATAATGAATAATCTCTTTAAGTCCAATGCGGAGCAGACAGTAAGTTCCAAGAATAATTAGATTTATTTTGCTTAGCTTGGAATAAGTTGCTACTGAATAAGCCATTTAGGTCATGGTTATCTGCTAGTCGTGCTTTTAATTTTCATGAAAATTGTAAACAAATATTGTTAAATAAGCAATGCATTTCAGAAGCTATCAGTAAGTTCAGTTAATGAAAATTAATTAATGATGGGGTAAAACCAATCTTACATATTACTTTTGAATGGGATATTCCAAGTTGCATTTCATTTTGATTAGTTTGCATTTTCAATTGAAATTGAACAAATATAGATTTCGTCTTAAACATATTTAATTTTGATTCACACTCACTCCTTTCTGGGCTTTGTTGCTCTGGCAATATATGGGATGGTATATAGTTGCTGCCCTTCATGAACATCTCCAGTCCGTTGACGCGAAACAGAAATGTGTTGCCTCGACCATCCGGCGCTGGCCGCTCAATTAGCTCCAATGTACGAAAGCCAACGCGCAGCGACTTCTGGGACTTGGTCTTGGCACGCACTTCCGGTCCAGATGGATCCAGCCAGGCGTTCAGTGTGAAGTGCAGCGGATAGAGCTTCTGATCGCCATAGCCATTGGGCCACCAGGCAACGACCTCCTCCTGCACAAACAACAAATGCACTTGACACAGATGCCAATGAGTTCAATTGCCGGCCGAGCAATTAGCGGACGGTACTCACAATTGGCACAGCCTGATCAAAGACAATTACGGGTGCCAAGTAGCTGATCGGCTTGGAGGTGTATGTGTCGATGACCACTGTCTGGTTCAGTAGCTCGCTGGAAACGTTCAACCGTTTCGCATTTAGCAGATTGGCAGCTTGATAAAGTGATCGACGGGGGAAATTTCAAGGTCTACTTACACGGCATAGAAGACTAGCTGAGCATAAAAATTCTCTTTGCCTTTGGTGTCCATAAAGCAGCTAATATGCATGTTCCAGTGCGTTTCGTTGCGGCTGATGTCCACGTCGACGTCGCGTAGCAGCGCCACCTCGTACATCTCCAGCTGCACGCTCTTCCACAGGCCCATTGAAGGCACCGCCGGTCCCCAGTCCCATGCAAAGCTCGCCTGCATCTTGCGCAGCATATTCATATGGCATTCACCATGATAACGCTCTGGCGGACAGGCTGGAGGAACACTGCGATTTGCGGCGTCCAGGGCTCGCGCCTTGGCTAGGGCTGCCCACACGGGTGATATGATCTCCACCTCCAGCACATTGTCCCTCTCCAGAAGTTTAGTCACGTCGTATGAGTAGCGCACAAACATATTGTCTGTGCGTCCCAAGAGCTGACGATTCAGCCGAATCTCGGCTACCGTGTCCACGCCATGGAAAGTCAGATTTAAGCAGCGCACGCGCTTATAGTGATCCACATCAACTGCATGGGGTTTGGGTTTAAATGATCATATTGTAGCTGCACTGGATGTCAATGCTGCACTCACACTTGAACTTGTTTGTATATGTCCAATTGTCGTAGGCCATCCAACGGAGATCCACATCGTTGTACGCATCCAGCACATTGGGCACGGCTAGCGTGCGGTGGAAGGCACTGTATATGCCAGAGGGCAGTGTCTGATTATCAGGTAGAGTGAAAGCTGAAACATATAATGACACACTATAAACAATACTCAAGGAATGGCTTCCATCTATTTGATAAACTAATAATGCAAGTGACCAAATTAAACGCGCACCGAAAGCTTATCGATAAGCAACATTCACACAATGCTGATTGTATGGCAATTCATGAATTGTGTATTTGTTTTCATTGTTGTTTGTTAATTAGATTAATCGAATTGCCAGTGACAGCTGCCTAATATTAAGCTAATACTTACACCCATTCTGATTAGATATACTCCAATTAGTGCCCAGCACGATTACTTCGACAGCGTCGCCTTTGACCCGCGTACCCATCAACAGGTGGAGCAGCAATCCGAGTCTCAGCAATTTACCGTAATCGGTGTCGCCAGCCTCCCCAAGTAGCCAGCTCCTCATTTTTTTGGCACAACGGCTGGCACAGACTTATTTGCAATTTTTTATAAACTTCTTTAAGATGCTGCTTCGTTGCTAAAAAAGCAATAATTCAAATTACTTACATATGTATAAATATACGTTTGCCTTAAGAATTTGATATTCGTACCGCTGCTTCGCCAAGTGCAAATATTTATACGTCTGGCACCGGGAAGGGCTGCCAAGAGACTGCTTGATAAGTGCCGGTCGGTCGCTATTTGACGATCGCCGATCGTCGGATTCTAGAGAGCGTAGAAATGCTGACAGCGAGACACAGAGAAAGAGATGGCCAGAGAGAAAGAATATGGGTGCTGACAGCACTAGCTAACACACGAATGCATTCATTTGCTTAGTTTTCATTTGGTTACCACATATACATATGTATATATTTGATAATTATTATTATTATTTTATTAATATTTTGCTTGTCTTCAACACAAAAACCGTAATGGGTTGTAATAAACACAGGGTATTTCAAAGTTAGGAA